AGTCAGTCACTACAGAATGTCTGTTCCTCGGTTACAAAAGCTCATAGTTATTTTTACTCGAAAATTACACTCGCGTTCACAATATATTGTCTGCACGAACTTTTGCATTTTTAACAATAAACATAATTAATTAGCACATAATATGCTGATTTTGAAATGACATCGGGAGATAAGGTATCCTAATGTCACCGTGGCATTCCACGTGTTAACGCTAAGTTGTCGCTTAACGACAATCGAGTAGCGAATAGATAAGGCGAATAATCAGTGTACGAGTAATTTGCTCGTCGCGTGAGCTCGATTACTCGCAAATGCCATGTAAAGTCGGTCGCTTTTAAATATGCAGAGTATCCATTTCAATATTTGATGCATCTTTCATATCTTGTAGAAATAGAGTTCTTTTCCCGGAGAATATATTCTCACTGCGAAGCAGGTGTCGTTCTCGTAGCGATCTAATGAAACACTCATGTTATGCATGCGAAGTGTGCACTTCGATCGCGGTCGATCGATCTCTGCAAGTGCGTTTTCGTTCGACAGTAAAATACGGTAGGCGGCAAAGGGAGTGGGGAAAGATTGTTGTGTGAGAGATAGATTAATATCTCTAAAATTAGTTATTTTCGGCGCCAACTATACTTTTCCGTATTATCCTAATAAAAAAGTAATAGTATACTGAGAAGAGAAACAGTAAAAAATAAAAAAATTTTATTTGATGGATAACATATTTACAAAAATTTAAATTCCTTTACTTAAATGCAACATCAAACGAAAGAAATGGCTAATTAACTCAATTAGTCCAACTATATTTTTTGTACTAAACTATATTTTTAAACTATATTTTCTGTAATAATAACATGCATATAGTTATTATCATTAATATTATAGTATAATTTAATAATAAGATCGTTTTTTCTTGACCATAATTTATAATGATTATTTTTCTACTTGATTGTAGTTACAAATACCAATTTTTTAAATGGATAAACAGTGAATAGAGCTAAGCTTTTAAGAAAGTGTATGTTGAAAAATATCTTATATGAGTATAAGTAAATATATTATCGGTAATTCAGCGCGAATAAATCTTTATTCTCAGATCTTTCTTTCTCTATTTCTCAGATCTTTCTATCTTTATTTCTCAGATTTTTTCTCTCAATGTGGCAATATATACATATATTATGTCACAATAACATCACAATATAGTGATGCCACAAAAATGGCTCTCCCGACTATAATTCTTTCACTGTGTGCGCGCGCGATTATAGTTATAACTACCAGACACTTTTCTCTCAGTATATAGTCGGTGGAGTCAACGAAGGAACGTTTGAGAAAGAGAAAGTGGGTCTCCCTTCGATCGAAGCGTGTACCTAAAAATTTATGCTTTTTAGATACACGTGTCCGTTGAATGTGTCGCTTTCGACGACATCCGTGATGATCTTCAGACGATCTCGTCGCTGCCAGCATTTGATGTGTCAATTTTGCACAATAAACACGATCTTGATCGTAACCACGGTCGGATCGCAATTATTGGCAACGAGAAAAAAAGATGATTTAAAGCCGTTAGTAATTAATAATTCGCAGAACGTAGCAGGTAGGTACACGAACGAGACTGCCTGTGTAATACTATCGCGGTGTAGTTTTTTTCGTTTTTTTTTTTCCTTTTTACATAATAGACACATGTGGCACGCGGTGCCGGCAGGAATACGAATCGATCGTGTGTGCCAAGCGTGGCAGGAGGTATTTAAGAAATGCATGCACAAAGCCGATGTTACGTAATTCATTTTACACGTGCTGTCGTTCTTGATTGCAGAGTTTAGAGTCGTTTAGAGTCGTCGAGATTTTTTTGCTCAATGTCACGGATCGCGGCGGTTGCGATCATGACGAACAAATTAACTCGTTATTGTAGATTCGATGACTCAACGAATCGCGACGGAACAGTACAAATTATAATCGTATGAACTCTCGTAAAGTGAAAATGTTTCCGATTGCATCAGTGAAAGGAGCATTTCTCCGATAATAATCAGTGAATATTCACTGATTTCCCAGTGACAACGCTTTACTTGCTCAATTATATATCTTACTGATTTTAACCAATGGAAGTAAGATTTCACCGCAAAATCTGTAGCACACCAATTCGTTACCGCTCTACCGAATCCAACTTTTTGCATTTTTTGCGATGGAATTGACACAGGGAAGAAAAAAATATTTAAAAATTTATTTAGAATATAACGTTTATTTTCTTATGAAATAAAATATATTTCTGTGAAATAAAGTTTGTTTTTATGAAAAAAACTTTTATTCCACAAATAAATTTTCAAGTATTTGTTTCTGAATGCAGTTTTCATGTCACTTGCACACAATGATACGCAACCACTGCATGTGGTTGTAAATTGCATTAATAATAGGAACAGTTACCATTATTATCTGATTTTCTCAACGAGATTTTACTGATCGCGGCACTGACAAAAGATACTCGAAAATTTATTTCACAAAAATAAACTGTATTTCACAGAAATAAAGTTTGTATCTCACACAGAAAAAAAGATTTGGTTGATTTAACCAAATATCTGGTCGAATATGAACGATCCAGAAATTCCGATTGAAGTAACCCGAATTCTGTTTAAGTTAACAAGACTTGGTTGACTTAAACAGAATTCGGGTTACTTCAATCGGAATTTCTGGATCATTCATATTTGACCAGATATTTGGTTAATTCAACTAAACCTTTTTTTTCCGGGCACAAATAATTTTCAAGTATTTTTCTCAGTGTATATTTATAACTGAGCTCCAACAGCTTTTTCAAAATACACAGATTGTACTTCAGAAAGAATACATTTGGAAGTCCAAATTAGATTTACATTTTCTCGCTGATAAAAGGTTTATCTGAGCAAACTGAGAGCAACGGAGAATGATTGATTCCAGCGAAATTTGTGAAATTAATGATCAATGCACGGCTTCGGGGAAGTCAGATTGAAGAACGATCCTTTCCATTATGACGGGACTCGAGTTTATAGCTGAAAATAGTGCAGGGTCCATTTAAATCGACCGTGGACTCGTGCTGCTACCTATCGCGCTGTCACGGCGCGCGCGAAAGGAATGTTTTATGCATGACCGTCAAACAGAGAAATCTCCGGACAAATAAAGCGCTGATCTCTTCTTCAGGACGTCTCTCGCACCGCTCTACCTGCCCTGCGCTCTCCTTGTAGGCAAAAAAAAAACGACCGTAGCTGAGAACGCGACGCGCTCGTCGATTACGAGCAACAATGCTCAATCGCGATATTTAATCGTTCCTTTGGAGACATGAAAATTTGGCAGTAAAACGAGACTTTTAATAAATTAATAAAATTAATGAATTACAATAAAAATATGTAAACTTTTGTTTATTAATATTTTAAGTTAGTTTTCAAAAGTAAAATAAATAAATGGGATAAATAATTAAATAAACTTTTGTTTATTGATTTTTATTTAAATAAATAAATTGAATAAATGAATAAATAAGTTTTAGTCCATCCCAATTTTAGATTCACGTATACTAGGGAACCCAGATAGCATAGAGAATTCGGAAAGAATTCTTCAAAGTTCAGTTCAGTGAAAAGAATTCTTTTGCATCTAAAAATGAACTTAAAATTGGTGACTGAAATCTTTTTGAACTCTCTGTGCTATCTGGGAAGAGATACTTGAAAATGTATTTGTGTGATATAAAGTTATTTCTGTCTGTGACATATTTTTTCTTGCCAGACATATTTTTTCTTGCTCTTAGTATATACGGAGAAAAAGAGACTTGAAAATTTACTTATGTGATATAAGGTTTATTTCTGTTAAATAAACTTTTATCCCACAAATAAATTTGCAAGTACTTTCTTCTCAGTGTATACTAAAAGGAAAGAAAAATATCTAATTTTGCAAAAACTACAATTATTTCCGGCGCAATTACACTTTTTTTGTTCTAACAAAATTACTACTACTTAAAAGTAGTAGTAATTACTTTACTTACAGCTTTATATCCACATCTAAAACTGTTAACTGTTAACTGTATCATAAATTAGTTTGCTTACTTGACTATATTTATTTCACCACGCAATTATAATCACAAATATGAAATACGTTTCTTTCTCAATGTATCAAGGGACTTATGCTGCAATTCTAAGAAAATATACAAATAAATCATAAAATCGTAAAGTCGTAATTTACGAATCAATCATAATGTTGGTAAAATTCACAAACCGTAACTTTATTGACAATTTCTAGTTAGTCGTAAGATTTACGAGAAATCGTAGATATTTACGAGTTATTGTGTGACATACGGTTCGCTTAGAATTGCAGATCTACTCATAAGTTCTTACGAGTCTTACGAGAACATGTTACGAGTTTTACGATTTTGTCTAGTATTGCAGTATTAGATTCTAAAATCTTTCTCGTGTTTCTTTCCCTCTCTTCTCCTGCGACTATCATCAACGCACTTTTCTCTGCTGTTTTTCGTCTTCTCTTTTTTTCTAGAGTTTTTCTATCCCTTTAAATAGTCCAGAGCGCGCATGAATTTGTTACGATTATCACGCGTGAATTTTCGCTACAAGCACGTCGACTCTTATCGATTCTACCTAGTGCTATCCGAGCTATATCTACGCGTTGAAGTTCGTAGAAGGATCATAGAAGGAAATCTTAGAAAAATCTCGCTCCGAGATTTCATCTTGTGTATATTCCTCCCCCCGTGAGAAAGATCGTAAACGTTCTCGCTCTGGAAAAATATTTTGGATATCCTCGAGATCGAAGGAGATAATTCACGTAGACATAATTCAATGTCGCGCCGCTTGTTCCAGATTGAAACAAATGTACGACTTTAAGAAACTTTATCGTTTTCACGAGAAATTTACGCGTTTTCCTTTTTCGGGGTAATTTATGGCGTGGACCAATATGTTTGCCGCAAGGATGATCGCGTCTCTCGTTATGCGATGTGGCGTAACGTGAGTAGTGGAGCAATGTCAGAGTACATCGCGATGGAAAAATTTCAGGTCGCTCGACTCGTCACAAGAATCCGAAAGGACAGGCAGGAATGGAGGGGAGGGAGAGAGTTTCCTACCCGGAAACGCGTTCAACAGTAAAACGCTAATTCGATCAGGAGGTATAGTCGGCGATGGAACAACTAGTTTCCCTAGAAGAAGAGGAGAAGGAGGGAGAAGGAAGAAGAGGAGGAGGGGGAGGAAGATAACAATAAGAAGAACAAGAAGAAGAATACGAACAAGAGGGAGAACAAGAAGAAGACGAAAGAGAGAAGAAGGAAAAAAACAATACGATCCTCTAACGAGAAAGAAAACGGAGTCGAGCGCGAGCGAACGAAGGCTCAAAGGCGCACACGTACGATGCTCCGTTACGCGCATGCGTCAGAAGCGGTATCCAGCAACGTTCAGAGTAGCGTTCAGGCCGCGCGTTGCTGAAGCGACCAAACAGTCCCGCTGGCTGGCTCCTGAGGCCCGGTGGTGGGAAGATGAGGGGCCGGTCGGTCGGGCAGGTTGGTGGGGGACGAAAAAGACTGTCAACGGGGTTCGCGCGCTTCGTTCGACGACTGTAGGTAGGTGGCGAGGAGTGGGACGGACGAGAGGAGGAGCGCGGAGGAGGAAAGGCACAGTGGCGGCCGAGGCTACGGACCCAGCCTGAGTCAACGGAGCTTCAGTAGCTTGTGAGAGGCCTTACGGTCGAGATTGCTCCGTTGTGACGGTGGGTAGAGTCGACAGCCGCATACAGGATAACTGTAAATCCCAACGCGGTGAAGGAAGTGAGGAGAGAGAGAGAGGGAAGGAAGGAGGAGAGAGAGAGAGATACATGACGCGACCGATCCGGCGTGACTTACCGCGGGTGTAATCATTGACAACCGCGAATACTTAATTACCACGAATCTCGAGTTCAGTGTGAAAGGAAGCCTGGACCCTGGTTCGGGGCTGGTCCCTGAACCTCGGCTGGACAGTGAACCCATCATCAGCGGGGTGCCGTGTGATTGACCTCTATAATTTTATTTTGACACGAGCAACCGTGTCTTGACATTATCAGGTCTTTATCGTCGTCGGTCCCCCCCCCGAGTGAATACTCGCCCGCGTGGAGCATCACGTGGAGCAGGGACAGGACAGGTGATGGTGAATCACTCTGCGGAGGACGTGAACACAGATGGATTTGGTAGTGCGTTCCTCGGGATTCTGTGCGGCCTCCTCGGGAACGAGACTGTTGTGCGCGACTGACGTGCCGCGAGTGTGTGTGTAGGTAAATGACAGCTCTGTGCGAAGGACCGTCAGGATGCCGAAGATCTTTCTGATCAAGAACCGACTGCACCAGCAGCAACTGCGGCTGCTGGAGTCGTCGCACCTCGGCAAGGGCCCGCTACACGGCAGTGGCAAGGACAGCCCGTTAGGCAGCTCGGAGCCGCTCAGTCTCATCGTCACCAAGGATCAACGTAAGTACTGATGTGAGAGAGAGAGAGAGAGAGAGAGAGAGAGAGAGAGAGAGAGAGAGAGAGAGAGAGAG